TCCTGAGGTAGATGGAGGAGGGGGGCGCTATCTTGGGAAGAAAGGGTTACATGGTGAGAGGTGTGGATGGGAATGGCGAGAGTCGGGGTGCGCAGGGCAGCGAAGCCAGTCCCGGGTTCGAGGGCCTTTCTGTCTTCTCTTCCTGAGGGGCGAGAACTGCGCATACTAGCTGCACCCCCTTCCCCGTTTTACCCAGTTCATTCATTTGGGGAGGGTGGGGGTGGAAGAATTCTCCCGCGTTTCTTCCGCAGCTGAGACCTCCTCGCCTCGGCCCGTGTCGGGCTGTCACCTCCCATGGCTTTCCTCTTCCCTTTCCCCCATCGTGTCTGCACCCAGGCGTTGCGGGGCGGGTGGGTTGGGGAGGAGCAGCCTTTTTTCTTCCTCCCTTGGCGGCTCTCGGCTGAGAAAGACACCTCCCGGGGGGGTGGGGAGGAATGGCGGTGGCTGGCCTCTCACTTTCCCGGAGGCAGGAGGAAGAAGGTCACTCGGGAGGGAACTGCAGGAGGGTAGGATGGGGGAACGTGGTTCTTAGGGCGGTGTCGATCTCAGCGTGCGTGGGGTCAAGGTCCCTAGGGGAACTCGCGTTCCCCCCCCCTTTTCTTCATGTCTCTGGGGTGGCGTGGCTCTGATCCCCTTTGGTTCTAGAGGGTAGGGAAGAGTTATTCCCAGGTTATCTCGGAGTCTGCTGGAGTTTAGCAGGTGCTTGTAGGCGTGAGTCCCTCCCTCAGGATTGCGTGGAATTGAACACAGCCCTGGGGGGATAGAGCTCACCTCTGGACATATGCACAGTTATTTGGTCTGTAATTGGTTTCCCTTTAGTAGGTTCTAGAATTCTTCCCCCTGGTGCATTATCCTGCCGGCAGCATGCTGTCTTATCTGGCAGCATGCCCATGGAGGGCCCAGGCAGGTGATCATGGGAGGGTTTGACTGAATTAAGCCTTTTCTGAGCTTCTTCCTGGTTCACCAATCCTGGTTGCACTTTGGCTGAAATAATACATTCATCCCAAATATCCCTTAAAGAGGCCTGCCTCAGCTCAACCTTCTGAAGGGCTAATTTCATGATGAAAGATACCATGGTTAGACATAACACTAATATTAGTGACTTTTTGGACACTTTGACCATTGAAGGCTAATTTCATTTACTTTCTCCCATTGTTATTACGTACATAAAGGATTATTGTTAATAAAAAGGTTTAATATCCAGGCTATCAGTAACATAATTTTATACTTCTTTACAGGTTTATCACCTTTGCTTACATCAGCAATAAATTATTTTCGTTTAAGTCCTCAAATGTAATGAATAGTCTTTTTAAAAATTTCTTTATTAATTGACGAGAGAGAGAGAGAGAGAGAGAGACATCGATTGTTTCACTTGTTTATTCATTCATTGGTTGATTTTTGTGTGTACCCTGACTGGGGATCGAACCTGCAACCTTGGCATATCCGGACACTGCGCTAACCAACTGAGCAGCCCAGCCAGGGCAATAATCTTTACTCAAAAGATGAGTTAAGTAATGCACTTTCTTCAGTCATCTGTGGTTTTCAGATCACTCATTTGAAGTAATGGGACATTATTTTATAATAGGTTAAAAATGTTAAGTGACAGAATGGACACAGAAATTATGCTCAATCTAAGTTTTAATTACTGTGGTTATTTCTGTTACAGTGAAGTATAAGTGAATGTGAAGGGTTAGGAAAACAATGTTCTTGGGTGTGGAGGAAACCAGGCTCCTTACTTACACTACAGTGCATCTGATGCATACATGATCATTTTGCAGACAAATGTTTGTAAAATCATACACGGAGAAGCAGGTACAATTGCTGTTTATAAGGTAGAGGTATAGCCCACTATTAAATCTCATTTCTTTAAAAAAATAGTTTTACTGATTTATAGAAGTGGGGGAGAGAAACATCGATGTGAGAATGCAACATTGATATGGATGCCCAAATGCAGGGCTCTCCTTCCTAACACCGAGCTAAGAGAGGTCCCCCCCCCCCCCCCCGCCACACACACACACACACACGCACACGCACACGCACACGCACACGCACACGCACGCACGCGCGCGCGCGCGCGCGCGAATTGAGCATACTCCCTGACCAGGAATTGAACCAGCAACCCTTCTTTATGCAGGACTATGCCCAACCAACTGAGCCAAAACAAATCTCATTTCTTGACTAATGGTGGTTTGGGCAATAGTTTTTCATTTCTATTAATGAGGAAATAAAAATTGTTAAGTAAACCAAAGATTGGAATCTAACCTTGTCACTAATTGAAAACAGATTTAATATGGGTTTGATTTCTAAGGGGGTCAGAATTTCTGCAAATACTAGAGTGAAGCCATTTCCTTTTCAAATATTTGAAGTTTTGAATGTAAAGCAGCTTTTCAGTTACACTTGAAGATTTCACTCATTCATTTATTTTGGAGTAATATGCCATGTCTAAACTTAAGCTTGCTAGTGTGACTGTATTCTTCAGCTGATAATGATTAATTGCGCAGATGCCCCCAGTCACTAGCCAACCTCTTCCAGGATATATAGCCCCTGACTTCTTATTTTTATCTCTTCCCTTTTAAAAAATTAAGGATTATTTTAATTGGCGTTTTAGGTCTGACATCTGAGTCCCTGCCAGTTTGCTAAGTAGCAGAAAACACTTTGAAATACTTAGGATAAAAATTAGGAACAAGAATTGAGGAACTTGAATGTGGAGTTAGCTTGTGAAAGCTTTAAAATGTGAACTGTAAATGAATTTATTTTTGTAACACGTAAATACTTTGGCCAGCTGAAGGATCTGTCATTAGGGCTTGGAGCTATACAGCAAATAAATATTAATATTATAAGTTATGAAGTGGGGTTTTTTTTCTTCTTTTTTAGGATATTTAGGCTGATAGCAGTCAATAGATGATTGCCCAATTGAGCAAGACATTGTTAAGAGTTACAGATTCTGGGGGGAAAAAATCCTAGGCTATACATATAAAATGGTGCTTGCAGTTCTCAATTCTTGGCACATTAAGTATGTTTATGCCAACTGACACATTGCACTATGTCCTAGGTTCCTTGAGTCTGCAATTAAAAAATCTCCCAACCCTGTTCTTTTCCCTTTAATCCATACATGCAGAACTGGAAGGTGGTGTGAGTTGAATGATAGAAGCTCTTGCTGTGGTTATTGTGGTTTGCAAAGAGCAAACAATGCTAGGTATTGCTGGGATGTGCTATATGCTTAACTGTACTGCCTGAAAGAGGCAACTGCCTTGGGATTATGCTGCAGTCCATCCTGGGAATAGCTTCCAGGTTTAAGATGTATCATGTTTTTCAGAATTTTCCTAATGGTCAATTTATTCAGCCTAAAGGCGGGTGGCTAATTCTAGTGACTGTGCTTTCACTCTCTAGGAAATAATTTAAGACATGGAAGTGTGTGTGTGTGTGTGTGTGTGTAGAACCTCAATCATTTTTATTTTAGTGTGCAGTAAAATACATGATTTCAGAAACCTTAACCTATGTTACCTGAATTCCATTTCACAAGATTTTTTTTTCCTGTCACTGTTACTGATACAGTTTTGGCTTTTTGAGAGTTACTGTCCAATAGAACTTTCTTCCATGATGAAAAATGTGTACTATCTACATAGGGATATTGAGCACTTGAATTAAGTTTTATTTCTTTAAATTAATTTAAATGTAAATAGCCACATGAGGCTATTGACTATGACATTGGATGCACAATTATAGGCCATACTGATGTGCTTTGTGAGAGTGAAGATTTATCTGACCACCCATATTTATTTGTAGAACATTCTGTTACCTAAAATAAAACAGTATTTGAAAGTGTTAGTTGAATACTGTCTCTTGGGGAAGTGGTGTTGATGAACAATGACTAATGAATAGAGCAGGGTCCTCAAACTTTTTAAACAGGGGGCCAGTTCACTGTCCCTCAGACCCTTGGAGGGCCAGACTATAGTTTAAAAAAAACTAGTCAGCTGCTAAGCAACAGGCAGCGGCGGCAAAAACACCCTCCGGGCAGGATGTGGCCCGCGGGCCGCAGTTTGAGGATCCCTGGAATGGAGGGAGAAGCAGACTTGTGAGAGCCTCTTGCATCCTATGAATGTGGCTGGGTGCTTTCAGGTCTTCACTTAATCCCCCACATCCTCCTTAAACAGTTGAAGAAAGTGAGACTCAAACACAATGTCAACCTAGGTCTTCTCACAAACTATTCCAAAGTAGGATGGTTGGCCTTAGAGAAGTTATATAGCCCTGGCTGTAATTAGAGGTGATTAGACTGTTGTTCCGATATGCCAAGGTTTTGGGTGTGATTCTTGGTCAAGGCATATACAAGAATCAATCAATGAATGCATAACTAAGTGGAACAACAAATCAGTGTTTCTCTCCCTTCCTCTCTCTAAAAATCAGTTTTTTGTTTGTTTTTAAAGAGAAGTTATGCAGTATCCTGGTATGCTTTTTTTGTTGTTGGACTTTGCCCAAAAATGATTTCTCTACTGGTTTAAAATGTGTTTAATGATGTGATGTAGTAGACAGATTAGGGGTTTGGGGGTTGTCAAGACCACTGCTGTCCAACAGAAAAAAAGTAAGAGCAATATAT